GTATGAAGGACGTGGAATTCCTGGGCATTGCAGATCATTATTGATATGCAATAATGACATGAAAAGCATTGATGACTGGTGAGTGAGATAAAGTTACTATTCAGTTATGGTAGGGTTATCAGAATTTCCTATATAATGGTATTGAACTAACCAATAAGGGAACTGTGGGAAGAGTGAATAGGAAAGTAACATACTAGATCCATCTACAGATACCCCAGCGTGTCCTTGGCAGGCAAGTTCTTAGTTTCAGCAATTCTGTTTCTTGTCTTTGTGAAGCTGTGCACTTTGTTTAGCCAAAGCCAGGAGCCTGGTGTTCAAATTAATTCTAAAAATGTTTAAAAGTGCTTCTTGGGAAGTGAAATAGGGTAAAGGGCTGGGAGGAAGACAGAGAGAAGTTATCTGCAGAGGAGGTTCAAGGGAACAGATCTTGCCGGATCCAAGGGAAGTTAAACTTTAGGGCAAACAAGAAATCCACCTAGAAGGTTCTGGCTTTAAGATCCATTTTCTCTGAAATGCTTCCATCTTAAAATTATATTTTGCTTGAAGAAGATTTTTGGTCACTGTATTAATCCCTGTCATTGTTCTCAGGGTCTGGGCTTATGAGTCTTGCCGAGGTACTTGCATGCAGTTCCAAGGTACTGCCGTCCAAGCCTTGTCTGAGAATGGGAGCACTGAAGCCAAGTGATGACCACAGGAAGAGTAGGGAGGGATGCACCAATTGAGACCAACATGGTCAGACATGCAGTTTGTCTGGGAACTGCAACATAACAATCTGTAGTGGGATTGGAGCATTGGTTCACTCATGATGGTCCAAGAAATATGCAAGAAGCAAGGGTTTTTTTGTGATATCTTTTATTGACCAAATGTCTAGTTGGGAAATGTTACACAAACTTCTGAGCACAATGTGTTGTTCCTCACATCTAGTCACAACAATGGGTAGCCAGGAAGCCACTACCTAACCAGTGTTTTCAAGCTTCAATCTAACAATGGAATAGGACCAAAAATAGGAAGAACCATTCGGCTAGGAACTTGATGGACATGCCTGGACAACCAGCTTGTTCAGCCTGTGCCTAAGCCAAACCCAACATATTTTGGGGGAATAAAAATAAGGAGTCACTTTCCAGACGAGGCACTGTGCTTCAGGAAAGAGAAAATAATCCATTTTGCTTCTCAGTCAGTGGAGCTCAGCTGACTTGAGCATCCTCTACTAGCAGGCCCCCTGGGACAAACCTCATTCACCAGAGCTGCTGGGTAGAAAGAGAGGCCAGGCCCTTCCATCCTGCACAAATTACGCAATTTCTAGATATAAGTTGGAACCAACAGAGAGAAAAGAGAGGCTGCTTGCCCAAGTCTATAGAGACAGGAGAGAAGCAGCTCCCCAATTCTGCATCCATTTTACAAATGAGCAGCCTGCTTGCTATCCTTACCCATTAGGCCCCTTGCATAACACCAGGGCAAGCCCAGAGTCTGAGCAATCAGAAACCTGTTGAGGGTGATATGCTCATCTGATAGTGGAACTTTAGAACTGATGATAGCATAGAGCAGGAATCAGCAACCCCCGGCTCACATGCCAGAGCATGGCACATGAGGCCATTTTGCTTGGCATGCCACAGCCAACCTGGACTCTGGGCAGCTGCCATCAACCACAGAGCCAGGACTGTTCACACCAGGCAGCAGGGAAACTGCAAGTCCTGCTGCAAGCTGCCTGGGCTCCGTTGCAGGCAGCAGCTGCCCAGAGCCCGAGCTGGCTGTGGCAGGCAGTCAGGAGGACGCAAACAGTTGCACCAAGCTCTAGAACCCCAGCCGAGCTCTGTGGCAGTGGTGGCTGCAGGCATGCCTCAGGGTGGATGGTGGGAGAGGGGCTGGGGTTGCTCTGCCTCAGGCCCAGCTGTACACCCTGAGGTGCACATGCAACCAGCACTGCCACAGTACCCCGCTGGAGCCTGGTGCAGCTGTTTGCAGCTTCCTGGCTGCCTGCCACAGCTGGCTCAGGCTCTCGGAAGCTGCAGCAGGTGGTGGGCAGACTGCAAACAGCTGCACCAGGGTCTGGAGCCCTGGCACAGACTCCATGGTGGTGGCAGCTGCACATGCACCTCAGACCACATGGCAGGGAAGGGGCCAAGGCAGTGCACCCCTGGCCCTTCCCCACCCTCCACCCAGAGGTGCATGTGCACCTACCATAAGCAATAAGGATCGGGCCTCTTATGGCTCCTGCCTCTGGCACACCAAGTTAAAGTGGGGGTCAAGGTTGGGGTGTTTCTGGCACTGGCCAAAAATGTTGCTGATCCCTGGCATAGAGTATTCCATCCCAAACTATTCATCCCATTAGATTCTGAGCATTAGTTTTCTTTAGATTTAATTCATTTAATGATATTTGATTAAAGGAGAACCCTTCTAAAAACACTCATCAGGCTTAGATTACAGAAGAGCAAACTAACAAAGCCATCCTTGCAACAGTTGTGGAATTTGAAGATTTCCAATAACTCGGTCTTGATAAGTCTGACAGAAATAAATACAGCTTCCATGATTCAGCAGTGACAGAAACAAAGCCCTTCTAATATCAAAGGTGTGTGCCAAATAAGTTTAAGTTAAAAAAAAAAGTAAAAGAGGATATGGTGATGAAATATAGGATAGAGCCACTTTATATGTTACTGCTGAATACCATTGTGGCAGTGTGAGCTCTTCAGGTTACAATCCTATGGACTCCAGCAGTAATATTATGGAAGGCAATGGTACCTCAAACTTTTGGCCCCAGGGGCCAGATGAGTGGTGCAGGGCCAGTTCATAGGATAGATTGGGCGCTATGTAGCCTTGACTGGCCCCTGCGATTGAGCCCTGCACTGACCCTGCGTGTTGGGATCAGGCTACACACTGCCCCATGCACCAGGCCACACTATCTGGCACATGGGGCATCCCATGGGTCCAGACACTTAGCAGCAAGGGAGAAGCAACCACTGCCAAAGTTTTGGATCCATGGGGAAGCCTGCAGGCTGGATAACATGGCTTTGGGGGACAGATTTGGCCCACAAGCCAAAGGTTGAGCACCCTTGTTGTAAAGTACTCTCTAAAAGGACAACAGAGCCTGTGAAGATATACTGACCTAAGCATACCCTTTGCAGACTTCCCAGAGATTTGCAAGCAGGCAAGAGAGGGTACATCTGTAACTAACGTCTGTCTGTGCTCTCAGCCAGAATGGAGTACAAAACGAGTTGCTTTACCTAAGGGCTCCAGGCTCCTGTTAAGCAAGACATGTCAATTTGTTACTTATCCACTTCTCTCTACAAAGACAGGACAGTACTAGACACATTCTGGATTTTGATTCACCTTCCCCTGTTGACATGGTATTGGAATTCAGGATTCATTGTGGGTAGGAGGAAAGGAGGGCTGAAAATCACATGAAATGCAGTGCATCTTGGTAGATGGTACCTGACCCTCATTGTGAAGCTAAATATCAGTCTATCCTAGGAGTTCTCATTTAGACCAGAACTAATTCCAGAGTGCTGAGGGTATTCAGACTGGGTTCAGGCCCATATGCATGAACATTAGGAACACTGTCAATAGTGTAAGGGAAAAAAGGTTGACCAGCTACTGTGTAGCACCCATACACCGAAGGGTGTGCTCATACACCGAAGAGCACTGGCCATGTCCCGTCTTTGGGCTCGTTCCTAGCTGCGATCAATTTAGCACAGAACGAGGGGGTGTTGGCAAGATGATTTATTTCTCTGCAGAGGGGGCCACTCAGTGTCACAAAGACAGAGAGTTCCCCACGAACTGAGTTTACAGCTTGGTATTTATACATTAAGCATTGCATTGCTACATTGTTGCGCGCACATTCGGGTTTTTTTCTTTGCCGTTACAAAATTACGAAACACGGTACAGAGCAAGCTTGGGCCTGTTGAGACTGGTTTTGCGGTTACACATTACTGTCAGCGAGAAGTACACGTCACTTACTGTCAGCAAGAGGCGATCTTTTAATTTTAGGGAAAAAAAATCATTTGCTTTTTCAAGGGTCATCTGCTTTTTCTGATTGTATTGCCATTTTCTCTTACAATAGGAATGCTTGTACCAAAGTAACAAGGTCACATGAAGAGACTACTCAAATTAATTGACCAAGTTAGGAGCTGAGGGACTAAAAAGGGTGTAATGGGATCTGTCTCCAGGGTTTGAATTGCACTTGGGGGGAGGGGTCTGCAAAAAAAATTGGCCAGGGTCAGGGGCCCAATCCTTACCTGCCTCTCCTGTGGCAGAGTGGGCGAGCTACCAGCAGGTCAAGTGGTCCCTGAGCTGCAGAGGACCCTAGTGCCTTCCACCTCAGTGGCAGTGCCCTCCAGGCGGCACCTGCCTGCTGGCACCCAGCCCAGGCGGTCCTGGGGTGCCACCACTGCAGAAGGAAGCAACAGACCCCATATAGTTCAGGGACTTTGCAACCCAGCAGCAGCTTGTGCAGGTAGGCTCAACTGAAGAAATAAAAAGCGGCAAGGAGCCCAATCTTTCCTTTTTTTTTTTGTCTCCTGGAGCCTGCCTGGCTGAGCTGTGCAGGGCCTGGTGCTTCCCTCCACAGTTACAGTGCCCCCCGGACAGCACCTGGGTGGAAGCTGCCCAGGGGATCCCACAGCTGCGGAGGGAAGCATGGGGGTCCCCCACAGCTCAGGGACCACTCGGTCTACTGGCAGCTTGCCCCCCCCCGGCCCCCCTCCGCCATAGAGGCAGGTAAGGACTGGGCCCCCTCACCCTTGTATACGTGATACGGGTTTAGTTCTCCCTTTATTGAAATGGTGGAAACAGTGGGTTTTTAAAAACCCACTAATTTAAATTTAGGGAGAACTAAACCAAACCAACCCCCCGTCATGTGTACAAGCACCCAAAGACACAAATTATTTTTTAAAGTGCCTTCCAAAAAGCTGTCCTCTTGCCAAGCACTTTTCAATTCACCCCTCCACCCAGCAAATTCTTGTTATCCCTGAAACTGCAAATGATCCAAAAAGTGCAGAGAACAGCAATTCAGGACAAGCATTGAGTCTTTATCATGGGATTATTGTAGAAGTCTGTCAAGCATGATCCCCTTTTACAAACTTGATCACTCTGCAGAACAAATCTAGCTTGCTGTGAATATTGTGCAAGATTACAGTCTACAACAGAATGGAGAATCAAGACCACAAGGACTTGGAAAGCAATAATTACTGTCTTAGTGCTTAGCCAGTCACTATATTGAATACTTAACAGGGTAACATTCCCATAATCCTAACCAGAGAGACTTAATTTTTGGTTGGTTTTGCTGTTCAGGTTAATAAGGAAGTATCTTTGGCTACTCAGAGTAGACTAGAACTCTGTGGGTAGCTTTATGTATCAGTATATCAAAATGCATTATATAGTCCCACTGAGTTGTTTTCTATCTTCAGAAATAACTGACTAATGCTGTGTCCAAGGTGCACACATCTGAATGATGTTCTCCAGTTAAATGCCAGTGTACATAAGGAACCAAATAGCAGATGCTACAAACACCTCTTTTGCTGAAGGGTCAGTGTCATCAGGTTTCCTTTGAGACCCTTTCTTCCCTCATAATGCATTTTTTAATATATTGTGTTGCCCTCTGAAGATTGAAATGCCACTGATCTGGGCAAAAGGATGTATGTGTTATCTCAAAAAGCTTATAAATGATTAATTCATGTTCTGTTGGTCATTTTCAGGTGGCATATCAAGAGAGACCCCAGTGGCAATATTTTCATTATTTCTTAGCAACTGAGACTGAGTTTGGACTTTACAGTCATGTTTTGTAGCTTCATTAACATTTGCACAAGCGCCTCTTTGAGAAAACTCCACAGGGTCCTTGAGTCCAACTGATCCATAGCTTATGCTCTGTAGCTCAAGGTGGCATTTTTCATTCAGAGAGTTCACTTCATTTTTCTCAAAGATCTCTTCACCATCTTCATCATCTTCACTTTCCTGGAAAGGCAAAATTAAACCAAAAAAAAATCACTGGGCCAAATCACACCTTTTACTCAGAAAATCTTCTGAATTTACAAACAGATCTATTTGCTTTAGTGAAAAAGTTTTATTCCTTTATAACTGTGCAAGTTCTGCAGGACAGAGCCCTAGAAGGGTGAGCAGCAGTAGTGTAATGATTGGTAGGTAACCACTAGGGAACCAGACCCGGAAACCCTGAGAGGGGGATACATAGTTTCATAGTTTCAAGGGTCGGAAGGGACCTGAGCAGAAAATTGAGTCTGACCCCCTGCCATGGCAGGAAAGAGTACTGGGGTCAAACGACCCCAGCAAGGTGTTCATGAATGGCAGCCACTGCTAGCACAGCTACTACAGCCACTGCAGCTGGCCCCACCCCTATAGTCACCCCTGCACTGCTGTCTGGGATGCACCCTCTGACTGTTATGCCTCTAGTAAGCTGAGGTCCCATATCAGCCTTTACATTGCAATTGCAAAGTCTTTTAATACAACCTCCCTGTCCTCAGATTCTGTTCAAGATTGCTAACATTTGATGAAATAAAGCTGTTACTTAGGACTTAGCTTGAGGATAGACATGGTTGGCATGGTGTAAGTACAGAATTGGACTAGTGATAAACTGAAAGAACCCAGGTTGGGCTGAGCCTGCTGGTGAGAATTTACCTGAAAAGAGCAAGCTTACCCTGAAAACTACTGAACAAACTGGAAACTCACAGTGCCATTTGCAGGCAGTCCTTTTTCAAACTAGAACCACACATTAAAGGGTAAGAACTGCCCCCAGCAAGTATGCCAAGTTTTTGATGACTGTGGAGGATATGAAATCTAAAGGACCAAACAAAACTTGGATGCAAAAGCACTTTTTAATTTATTGTGGATTTAAATCCCAATTCAAATACATTCTCCAGCTTGGGCCAATCTTTACAAATAACCTCAATAATGCATAATGGCAAAAAAATAAATATATTAGTGTCCTTATCATTTAGCTTCTACCACATTTAAATGCAAATTTCATCAGTGTGCTCATTTGTGCACAGCAGTTCCCAAGAAACACTAAGACATGCCTTTGATCAACATCAACATAGTTAAATGGCTATAAATCCCAGAATCGGTAATCAGTTACTCAGTATAGCAAAGCAGGGCAGGTCATTGTGTTCCAAGTTCTGTGGGGAATTCAGTAAGAGGCTAGTTGGAGTTACAGTCCATTAGTCAGTTGGATCAGCCTTTCTGTACTGCAACCCAACAATGCCTAGAGAAACATTTCAGTAGAGTTACATACCTCTTGTGACTTACAAATGTCTGGAGACAGAAAAGGAAAATATTAACGGTATATTGCTAAGCATTTGGAGGAGGTTTTGGGCTGCCTACTCCCATAAGATTCCTCAACAATTATGTGTGGGATAAACTTGGATTTTCATCCACTTAGTCTGAGATCACCGCTTGATATTTTTCTCCTTAGGTGAGTGATTCTCAGGGTGCCTTGAGATCTTTTCAAAGGTGCTGAAGCGTGCTATGTAGCGTTAGCACCGTTAGGTATGCAGACATAATTTATAAGATAAACCCTCGTTCTTCAAATAGGAATCCATAGAGTTCAAAACATTCTGACCTGCTATGGTTTTCCTGAGTTATTTACAACAGAAGAATTACTCTATTATTTTTCTGTAGTAAAAAAACAGAGTGAAAACTAAGAGCTGACATGTACTGAGGGGTGCCTCAAGTCCATCAAGGTTGAGAACCAATGACTTAGGTGTTGCCAACACAGTACCTTGACCTTAGCTCAGGTGATGGGACAAACATTTCTTTCCCAGGCCAGTGCCAGTCTCTGAATCTGCTGGCAGGTAGTGACATTAGAATGAATTGTCAAGATTTCTGCCACCAGGAACCATATCAAGATGATTTTTGTAATGGAGCTCAACTTCACCAACCTGGGGAGTAAGCCTTCCAAAGTCCTGCAGAAAGTGAACTGATACAAGATACAAACACTATTTAAAACCTATCAGACTGAAAGTTTAACCAGAATAATTCCATAGTACTGATGCCATTACAAAGCTTTCTATAGGATCGATGAAGTACTAGTGACAGCTGGTAGTACTACTGAAGCTTCCAGGATACCCTTAAGTGAGCTGATGAAAAGGTTTGAGGCCCCTTTCCCTCATACATACACACATGGCATTTTGTGTCTTGTTTGCACTGTTAACAACAAAACAGGATCAAGTGCTATTATTTTGCTTTTCATTTTTTAAAAGCAAAGTGTAGATGCTATTTACCTTGCTCTGTGTCCTATAGTATTCATCTATTGCATGCTGATATTTAGGTTCATTGAGTCCAAAGAGTGTGGCAAGCTTCCCACCAAGGAATTCACAAGCTGAAAAGACATGGAGAAAAAAAATAACTAAAGCTCTAACCATTATAGTCAGGGACTTACAGAGAAGCACTTTGCAAGAGGAGAAAAATTAGTTGTATACACTGGTCACATGCTCAAACGTAAAGGATCAAAAGGAGGGATCTCTAAGGGCAGCCTTCAACAGCTCAGGAAAAACAAGTTTACTTGCTGCAATTCTGGTCTTCTCTCCAGAAATCTCATTAGTAACCACCCATTTTAATCTTTTTCCAATGAGCTGGCCAGTGTTCCTGGAAATGATGTGTACCACTTCAGCTGCTGTCTTAAATAGTTTGTTCCATACTGTGTTTCAGCTACACTTTGCATAAACCAATTGAGTCTGGAATATTTTACATGCTAATTCGTTCTAACTTCGTTACCATCTCAAACAAGCTTCTTCTCCTTTCAGGATTTTTTGATTTTTTGCCTGCTTATGAAAGTTTTCCTCACTTTACCCAAGGGAGAGAGCAAGGAAGACTTTTATAAGTCATGTTTAAGAGGCTGTTGATTTTTGAAGAAAATGAAGTCATTCGACTGCTTTCAGGTGCCACCTTCTCTGACTGAGCTGTGGCCTGCCTGGAGCAGACTAATGGAAACTGGCTGCAGTAACATCAGTCAACAGAGCCAAATTGTCCCAATGCCAGGTTTCAGCAATATCATTCTTGGCAGCATATCTTCACTCTAACCCATTTTCTTTTCTTCATACTTCAGTTTTTTGTCTCTATGCCAATTTTTGATCCACTTGAATAATTCTCCCCTTATTTGTGCCCCGATTTCCGATTTGGTTGTATCATTCTGATCTGGAACACTGTTTATTCTACAGCCCAGGTAAACTGTCAGGTATAACTTTATCCATGCCTACTAACTAACATAATTTAGTATAGGTACTACATGTTGTGATGTCTACATTTAAAGCTGCACAACTCTTTCCATTAGGAAAAAAATTAATTGCTTAAAGCTTTGCCAGGCTTTAACTGTTCGAACTGAATATTTCCTTGTCAAGTATCTGTCTCAAGCTAAGTTTTTTTGGGCAAGCCTAACAATTTTTTGACGTTTCTGGACAGGTGTGTAGGGAAAATACACTGTTAAGCTTATGTTGTAAAATGCTTTTAACCAGTTTTTTGACTGACAAATTCTAGTACCTTGATGATGGAACAGGGATTAAAAATTCCATGGGCGAGTCACCTTGGTGTCAGTGAAAGGCCTTTTTCTGGTTTCAAAACCCTGCCCAATTTTGACCAAGTTAAGGCTTTTCAGGAGTTTGAATGATTTATCAGAAAATGACAGACAAGCTCCCAAGCTTCCGTCTTTACTGAACATGCTTCTCTGCCTCGACCACACTATGCATCTGTTGTCCCCTCAGAATAATTGAGCATGCTCCATGCCAGTGCTCAACAGCCCTTTCTCTACTGCTGTTCTTTCCTGCAGCTGTGGTCCTGGAACTGAGAAAAAGGAACCTGCATCCTGCACCTTCAATAGTTACCTTGTATCCTGTTTGTATCCTGCACTTTCAATGGTTACCTTGCTGGTGTCCAAGGGTGGAGGAGGATAAAAAGTCCAACAGTCAGATTAATGCAGAGGTACAAGAAAAAGAAGGGGAAAAGATACAGAGAGGAAAAGGGGGTGGGAGGGATACGTGCAGGAGGTTTTTATAATGAATACAGCATGCTTCCCTTTAGAAGTTGGAATGGAATACACCATAACATAATAGGGCTGTGCGAAGCTTCAGGTGCTGATTCGATTCAGAGGAGATTCGGCCTGATTCGGTAACCGAATCTCTGAATCTGAATTGAATCAGGGGACCAATTAAAAGGTCCAAATCAATTTGAAGCTCTCTGAATTGATTCAGAAAAGATTTGGAGAGCTTCAGCAATTCAGGCAGCCCCTGCTTGCTGCAGCAAGGAGCCGGACCCAGACTCCATGCTGGTAAGTAGGGGATGGGGGAGGGAAGGCTGGAGGAGTGGGGAGGGGACCATGGGGGGGCCCCTGCCAGGCCCCATCCCCTGCCTGCTCCCCCAGCCCCCCTGACCCTCGCCTACTCTCCTAGTCGCATCAATGGCTGCCCTACCTAGCCCCAGAGTCCTGGCACTTAAAAAAAACAACAACCCACACTCACGGGCTGCTGCAGTGGCCATCAGGGCCTCTCGGAGCTTGTGGAAAAGCGCCCCCCATGCAGCATGG